TTAAGTACAACAAATTAAATGCTCATTTACCTGGTATGTGACTTCTCATTAAAACACAGATTACACACTCACAAAAGCCCTATCAATTACACCTGATTAAGCTTATTAATTATACCTTCTTCCCCCGGGACCTTAGAACTCAGCGCCCCCAATTTCACAGTATGAACTGCAGGTTTGAGATACATTTACAATCTTTAAAGAGGATAATGACTGGAAAGACTGATTTATTATCCCACAAAAATATTACTTTCCCCCTTTTTTTGTCAGTTGTGGGTCTTGAACTCTGGGCCTGGGTGCTGACCCTGAGCTCTTCAGCTCAGGCTAGCAACTATACCTCTTAAACCACAGAGCCACTTCTGGCTTTTGCTGTTTATGTGGTGTTCAGGAATCAAACCCAGGGCTTCATGCATTCAAGGCAAGCACTCTACCACTGAGCCACCTTCCCAGCCCCCCACAAAAATATTATTGAAGACTCAAACTCCACAATATATAAACTATATTAGTATTCCCAACTATTCCCAATGCATCCATACTTCACTGGCCAGGCTTGTTTTTCTCCCTAGTGAAATGTTCAGAGGCTTCATTTCTCCATCTCAGGGCCTGGGCAGTATCCCTGAGCTTCTTTTGATCAAGGCCAGCATTTCACCACCTGAGCCACAGCTCCACTTCAGGATCTTTGCTGATTAATTGGGGATAAGAGTTTCATGGGCTTTCCTGTGTCTCGGTCCAGCCGCAGCATGAACAGGGGCTCCCAAGGGGCAAAGTGATTGATGAAGGAGACGGAGAAAAGGCTGAAGGGATGGGGTTGAGAAGGTGGCTCAGTGGTAGAGCGCTTGCCTTGCATGCATGAGGCCCTGGGTTTGATTCCTCAGCACCACGTAAGCAGAAAAAAAAGCCGGAAGTGGTGCTATGGCTCAAGTGGTAGGGTGCTAGCCTTGAGCTGAAGAGCTGAGGGACAGTGCCCAGGCCCAGACTGAAGGGACAACTCTGTTTATCTCAGCAAAAGTCTCACTTATAGGGCTGGGAAGGTGGCTCAGTGATAGAGTGCTCATTTTGCATGCATGAAGCCCTGGGCTGGATTCCTCAGGACCATATACACAGAAAAAGCCTGAAGTGGTGCTGTGGCTCAAGTGGTAGAATGCTAGCCTTGAGCCAAAGAAGCTCAGGGACAGCCCCCAAGCCCAGAGTTCAAGCCCTAGAACTGGACACAAAAAAAAGTCTCAGTTATATACACTTTATTTACCAAATGCTTACATCAGGACCCACCACGCCCACAAGTACAGATAGAAACTAACCTTCCTCAATCTATTTCAAACAGCCCTTATCTACCATTCTCCCTCAGATAAGCCCCCAGGCACAAAGCAGAGAAAAAGACTTCCTCAAAAGGCAAGTACTTTCAGCCCTGAGGGTTGGAGCCAATGGCCAGAGCTTTTGTTCACACCTTGCCAGCTCCTGCCACCTTAGAGTCTGCAACATCTCCCCCTTTTTATTTTTTAAATTGAGCAAGTATCTGTCAGCCTGGACCTGGGCAAAGGAGTGGACCATACATCTCCTTGCATGGAATGGAGAACTGATGCAGCCAAGTCTTCGGAGACTGTTATCTTTAGGGTGGAGTGGCCAATATCAAATATCTGCCCCTGAAGCTGCATCAAGTCAAAGCTCAAATTATCTGGGGACCAGTGTCCTTGAATATGTTGCTGGATATTGATCCAAGTCACATTTCTATCCTACTGAAGAAGGGAAGCACAGATGTACTGATAATTAGCATGACATGTCATTTTTAACTGAGTTTTTAGCAGTGTTACCTGGTTATTAACATACATCATGGCTGTTCCCAAAGCATTTAGACATTCCTCAATCTTTTTATCCATTCCCACGTGGGTCTCAAGGGCACTAGAAACATTTCGAATTAAAGTATTAACATGTTGTATGCGTGTATGTATGTGTATATGTATATGTATGGTTTGGGTAAGGGCCATAGCAGAAGCAGTAGCACTGGCAATAAGAGATATGGCAGTGCATGCCTGTAATCCTGGCTACTCAGGAGGCTGAGATCTGAGGATTGTAAGGTCCACTCCTGGATGGCTAGCAGACTCCACCCTCCTCGCAGCAAAGTCTCCACCCACTACCTGCGTTACCTAGGCAACTGGGACACCTGGAAGAGGTCACATCTGCATCCGCTGAGGTCACA